ACTGTGTACTTTAATGTTTCTCGATTTCAATGGTGGAGTGCGATTGTGTTTTGGTCTAATAGGTCAAATGTAACCAATGAGAGGTGCTGAATTGGTATCTGATAGTGCTCCCAGTATTTGATACCAAATGATAAAGATCGGTTAAGGTCATATTCTCTTGCTATTTGAAAAGTTGAGAACTCATTTTCATTTGCCATTGTTGATCGTTATAATCAGTGGTTACATTTATGGCTGTGTACTTCTTATCACATCATGAAAAATTATGGTGGTTTTTGCATTCCAAACCCATCTGAATTGCAGATAATCCCGTATTTGGCGAGTCAGTTCCGGAAGGACAAAATTTGGATGCGCCGGACACAACCCAGCCAACGCGACTACCGAATTCTTATCGGAGTAGACAATTCATCCTCTATGGCAGACAACCTCTGCAGGCAGGTAAATCATGCATCTTTATTCCTCCCTTTCCTCCACTATTCTCATTCCATCTCTTGTTAATCTTGCTCCCTTCTCTGCAGATGACCTTCGAAGCCTTGGCCACAGTGATAAACGCTTTGAACCTCCTTGAGGCCGGGAAAGTTGGTGTCTGCAGGTAAGTAACATTTGCCACTCAATTTGGCAGTTCTATGCTCACAAGAAGCGATCACGATGCCTTCCTCAAGTGTAAGCTCCTAATTTATAAACAAAGCACTTGATTTATAAATTCTCATTCTTCTTGTCCCTTCTCAAAATTCAACATTAATACGATATTAAAACGCGCATTCAAGCGCCATGTTAGCCCACTATCCCCATTGGCTTTTGCGACTTTCCTGTAATTTTTATTGCTTCATTAAAATGTAGAACTGTTCTTTTTGGTGAAAATTGCTGAGAACTATAATGCTATTACGGCTGCTCTTAGATCAGCTTTAAGCCTTAGAAAAGGTTTTGTTGGAATTCCGGATAGAGTTGTTTGAATGTTATTTCCACTTTGCAGTTTTGGGGAGTCGGTAGAGGTGGTGCATGGTCTAGGTGAACCATGGACCAACGAAATGGGGGCTGCAATGCTCGCTAAATTCGACTTCAAGCAGTCACGCACCTCACTCACCCAGGTTAGTTGCTGATTTGACTGTTTGTCATTGTTGGCAAAGGAGGTGAAGTATTATGTACTTGGTGTGTCCACCATCTAGGTAACTTTTTTACCAAACAATATTTTTATACGAAGACAGCACTAACTTTCATGTGACCTAAAGTACTTGTTGTATTATCAGGATTCCAAATAACATCTCACGAAGAAAGGG